CCCTACTGATGCATTATATAGGCTTCCACCAGCTTCTCCTTGACATCATTGAAGCTTGGATTCACCCCTACACTCAGCGCTGTCGGGTGAACCTCGCGGTCGCCCTTTGATGCAGAGCACTCCTTAGCATATCGGACTTGGGCGAAACCGAGGTAGACACCTGATGGAGCTACAATCCGCTAAGACGTGAAGAACTCGACACATCGTAATCACATTCACTGTGGATGCATAGCAAAAAAGTTTTGAAGGATCCGGGCGCTACTCTACGCTAGTTTTCAGTTTCTCGGCATTATATTGTGTACATGTGATGCACATGAAAAGATGTAATACCAAACTTTGATATACATTGAAGTTTCACCCTAGTGATATGAAAAACACTAGTGAGAAACAGATTTCACGACTACTACATAGTGCGAAATTCGGGTTTTTCACCAAGTATTACGCCACTTTACGTAAAACGGGTGAAACTTCATTACTATATGCATATCAGTAATATATATGACGCTTACGTACATCATCATATATCAGAGTTTCACCCGTGATGTGAAAAAACACTAGCGATAAACATATTTCACACTTCACTTGCGGAAAAAAGCCTCTGGCCCGCGAATATCGCGTTTTTCACGTAGAGTATTACACCAATTTACGTAAAACAGGTAAAACTTCATTATATAAAATATATAAAAAATATATGTCAATAAAAATAAATTCAAATATATGTCATACCATCCATACGTGCAATACTATTATAAAACTCGTCGAGATGTATGATCGTGCAAGTCTGTTAACTCCCACAACACAGCGACCACGGAGTTTTACACAGCGTTGCCGAGACCGCCCCTGATTTATATACTATAAAAACCAATATACGTAAAGCCCTCAAAAACCTTCACATCAAGACGTGTGGGAATTGCCCGGAATTTCTTCATGATGGTGCTGGACTTCAAGTCACAGTGAAATGCGAGCTGATCAAAACGGTGTCCATTTCTCTCCCAGAATTACCAGTTTCCGCTGCCTCCAAGAACTGAGCAACTGCAGGGCTATCTGAAGTGATGTTAGCCGTAGGGTACCCCAACAGCTTGGAGCCTCTGCCGAACCCAGATGCCACTATTCCTGTCAGTCGCGCTGGAGGCTCTAGAAGATGCAATACGCGAGTAATACTCTCCTTGGCTGGAGTCATTGACGAGACCTTAAAACTATTACAACATACGAGCTGCCCGGCCGAATCGTGAGAGGATGGAGAATAGATTTTCTGGAGTATACATGGGAAAATGTATATTGCATAATAATGTGTAAATTTTGAGAAAAATTTTTTTCTATTAATGATACTCTATTATGATCAAATTGCATCACAATAGAGAACTAGCAATCGACACATTGCACGATTCGCAAAATTACGTAGGGGAAATGTGATCAACAACTGCGGTTGTTGATAACAAATATGAGGAAAGTCTTATGGGCTTTCGCTCACTTCACCATGGCTCGAGCGATCCCCACACCAAAAACTCTTCCTTGCACTACTCTTAACACAATGTCAAAAACTGTAAGAAATTCTGTTAATGCTAGTGACTCAACATTCACACCGTTTAAGTGTGTGACACATCTGAAGTAGCTCTACCTACTAGAACCAAGCGTTTGAGCTATCTCGATGGTTGGAGTGATCCATTTCTGGTAATCCCACTTGCCGGAGAGAACAATCTAGAACATCAAAATCGCGGAGCGAAGCAGATTTAAGATCGAGTGAATTAAGACAGGTCCTTTGTCAGTGTTGGATGAATTCATGTTCGCTTTCCTCAGCTGAGTTTTGTCACCGATTGTTTACACACGAATGGGAGTACAAGTGTACAGAAACCAAAAAGAATATCCAAAAAGTTCCTCCCAGAATTTCCATACTCTCACGAACACATATGCGTTTCACACAGTACATGTTCGTAGCAATGTTTACAGTGTATCTATGAACAATCAAAGCGATTACCATTAATCTCGAGAAGAAACGCAC